AGGGGCGTTTTGTTTGGAGGAAAAAGGCTATAAAGGAGGGTTCTGGGAAGCAGGATGGAAACCTGAGGGGTGCCTGTGGGAATGAGGGGTGCCTGCACAGCACAGAGGTGATTTTTGGGCTGTCTGATGCTGGAAAGTTCATTGCTGCAGTGCCAGGGCCAGTTCTGGTGGTGTTGGGACACTCAGTGGGGTTGTGTGTCCGAAGTCTATCCCATAGGGTGAGAAAATGGAAATCTTCCTGGGAATAGGCTGGGAATGCAGCCTGGATTGTGTGTTGTGGGCAGGGTTTGTGTAAGATGGTTACCTGCCTTGGATCCATCAGCTGTGGCAGTGACAGAGGCACTGTGTGTGTGTGTGTGAATTCCCTGGGCATGGCTGATTCCTGGAAAAGAAGGAATTGAGGAAAGGATGATTATCCTGGGCAGCGATTGCTTTCTCAGGGAGCTGCTGAGAGTACTAAGCACCCTTGGATGATGCTCCCTGTGGATCTGGGAGAAGGGGAGCTGTCTGTGTGAGCTGAACTCGCAGAGGAAAAAGACTTTTATTATTTATTTGGGTTTTTTTGACAGTCTGTAGATGGGAGTGTGATGCAGCCAATTTAAAAGGGGTTTTTATAGAAGCGATTCCAGGCCAGGCAAGTCCAAAGCTGCCTTTTTAAGGTCTTTTTGCCACTCTCATGAGAAGAATTTCCCTCTAGTTGAGTTTTATGAAATAGCCACTTACCTGTTACTTTCCTGCAGAGCTTTAGGATGTTGGTCATTTAAGGGGGACTGGATTTAAGTAAAAGCAGGGGCTCCTTTGCTGAACGATGCCACATAAAAAAAGAATTGCTGTGTATCCACTGCTAATACAACCTCAATTTTTTATCCTCTTGCCTGTTTTCATAAAGCTTCTTGTTTCTTTCTCACGTACAATCCCAGCCTAAAAGTTTGCTTGAACGAATATGTTCAAAAATACAACGAATCTTTTTCTCTCTCGAGGTGGTTTATTTACCTGTTTATTTCTTTATGAAGGAGTTGAAGTTCCCAGTAATGTTTTTAAACTTTGAGCCCCAAGCGAGTGCTTTTAGCAGCGTTTAGAGCTTTGCAGTCACGTGCCACCTTCCACATGCCTCGAGTTTGCTCTGTCTCCTGTCAGAAATGGCCCTGCAGGAGGTATATTTTTATTTTATTTATTTTTTTTTTTTTGGTTTATGGCTGCCAAGGGCTTGGCTTTAAAGGACCTGACGTGTCATGAGGTGCTGGAAGGTACAGCTGGGAAGTGGAAGGGGCAGGTGAAAATTATTTCCTAAGTGTGGTGGATGTAATTAAGTTTGGCACGATAATCACCCCGTCTTATCTCGAGGTATGTGATAACTGTATTTATTGCCTCCACTGCTTTTATTTACATCGAACACTGGGGCTGTAAAGACACGACTTGTGCCTCATTAACCTGTTAATTCCTCCCATCTTCCGGGTTGGCAGCGAGGGATGAATGTTGGAGCAATGAGTTGCAGTCTGATCATATTCCAATTCCCTTTTTCCTTGGGAAATCTGTTTATTTAGACTGTGGTTGGAGGTATAAATAACACACCAGCCATCTGTGGTGCTCTTGGGGGTGGAGAAGGTTGACTTGGGAAGGGCTTCAGGTGACCTTCAGCGTTTTCAAGGTGTGGAACCAGCGGCTTGAGCTGTTCAGAGATAAAGATCTTGTGGTAACAGAAGCTGAAGTAGAAAACAGGGCCCGTGCCTGATGTGCTGGTGTTTTCTGTTTCTGTGCAAACCTCCTGGGCTGGGCTGTGTGATCTGGGCAGGAGAGGAGCTGCTGCTGGGAGGGATGAGAGATCCCCCAGTCCCAGAGCTGCAGCAGCATCCTGGGGTAATGTTTAGAGGGGTGGGACCTCCAGACTCTGGAGCTCAGTTGCCAGCGCTGGGTGTGCAATCACAAAGGTGCCTCAGGCTCGGAGAATGGGCTCCTCCAGGCTCTGTGTGCAGCTCAGAGACAGCCTCTAGTCCTGCCTAAA